TCTGGTTGTGTTCCCTTGCCATAAAATGTTCAGTTCTGCTCTGCCACATCCTTTGCCATGATGTTCCAATATTAAAGCCAAAAGACTATAGACTGAACCCTCTGAAAGCATAAACAAAATAAACCATTTCCTTCTAAAAGTTATGAAAGTTGGGTGTTTTGACCCAGCAATACAAAAGCTGACTCATGCAGAAAATTAGTGCCAGAGAAGTGGGGTCATTGCCATTGGGATCTTTGTTCTAAAATTATACCTTCTGACCCTGGCTTCTACTATCTGTATTCCTATCAGTAAATGGATTAGAAGGCATGTATGTTACACTCTGGAAAAATATTTTTACATTTTTCTGGTGTCCTAAGACTTTGCAGGTGATTTATATTACGTATGTGAAAATAATTCATCCAGCAGAGGAAATGTCGAGGTAGACTAACACTCGGAGTATGGTATAGCTGCTGATCGCTTCTTGTAGCTAGATTTATATTGAGAATTGTGAGCAAAAAGCAGGACACAACATTTGAAAAACTTAAATTTTGGCCTAAAAGGAACTACATGTAAACTTGGGCTAAAAGTTGTGTTACAGAAGAGATTTGTGTTATAAAAAGAAACCAAGTACTTTGTACATGGACAAGAAGAAAGATACCTTGAGGACATCTCAGGAACTAATAAGCTCCGCCCATCAAAAGGTGAAGGTTGCAAAAGAGTAAACCTTTCATTTTAGAAGAAAGGCCCTAAGTCCCTTGCTGTGTAAGTGCCACATATGGAACTATTTATTCCAGATTCATTTCACTACATTTAGCTATCCAGGCAGTCAGAGGCTGAAACAGTCACGGTATAAGGAGACCCAGCTACTGCTTGAGCTAGGAGAAGACTTTGGTGTCCTCCATGTGGTGCTGGGTTTACCTGTATCCAAAATGCAAGAATTGTGGAGTCATGCAGATTTCTAGACAGATTTTAAAGGAAGACTTGGGAGGCCAGGCAAGGTACCCCTGAGAAGCCAGTGAATGAAGCTGTAAAAATGAAACTAAAAATGCATTGGAGACCTCAGGAAGTTGGAGATACCAGGAACATAGAAAATTTACTGAGGGACTGCCAGCTGTGAGTGAAGCCAGCCCTAGAGAAAGATTGGGTTGGGTACAACCAGCAGGCCATAGGGTTGGGGCCACCCAAATCCTATGGAACTCAGTTCTCACCACCACATTCCCTGGATGGTGGACATGAAGCTCTAATACTTACTGTTTATCCTCATAGATTTTAGTCTTGTTTTGTTTCTATACTCTCCTATCCACTTCTCCCTTTCTTTTGGAATACAAATATTTATTCTCTGTCATTATATATTGTAATTATACAGCTTGTTCTTTTTTATTTTTATAGGGGTTCACAGATGAGAATCTGTCTTGAGTTTCAGAAGAGATCTTGACTTAGACTTTTTAGCAATCCTGGGATTCTGTAGATTTAGGTGAAGTGATTATTGTGTTTTGGTTATATGTGGAATAATTGTATCATGTTAGATGGAATTGTAACTTCGTGTTTATTTGAAATTTAAGTATTGTTAAAGAGATGTGCTTGGGTATCAAATTATCAAGTGGTAGAATGTGTCATGTAAGCTGGATTGTCAATTTGATTTGCTTGGGAGCTGCCCAGAGGATTATCAAGGCACACCTCTGTGTGGATCATGGAGGTCTGACTATATCTGCTTTCATGTCCTTGCTACCCTTTCCTCTCTAGTGCTGTTCTCTTGTTCTGCTTTCAGATGCCATGAACTGAGTAGCTTTGTTCCACCATGATATTTCTACCTTTGACCCAGATGACCATAAACTGAATCTTCTGAACCATGAGCCAAATAAACAATTTCCTCCTAAACATTGTGGATGTCAGGTATTTGATCTAGGGAAGGAAAAGCTGACTAATACAACATCTCAAACAGACACACACACACACACACACCCGCCTTGCATCTTCAGTCACACCACCCTAGTTGAAGCTACTGGAATTTCTTGCCAATCATATTGTGGCATTTTCCTAAGTGCTTTCCTTGCCTCCATTCTTTTCCTTTCCTCTCCTATCAAGTGTTCTTTACATACACATAGGAGGAGTAGTTTTAAGTCAAATGAGGCAACAGTGCAGTTTCTCTCTTAGCTGAGAGAAAAGTTCCAGATCCATACTTTAAACTTCTACATGGTATGGCTTCTTGATTCTACTTTGACCTTACCAACTCTACCAGTCTAACTCTTGCCTCACAACCACCTTTCTATCCCAGTTACACTGGCTTCTATGCTCTTCCTTTGGAACACAGGGTGCTGTGGAAACATATATCACATACAGTGGGAAAAAGACACCTTCAAAGCAACTCAAAAAGAGGATTCCTGACCTTACTGATAGATAAGTGATATAATTATAGAGGAGCAATTTTCATAATTATTCAAATGTCTCTGAATTTTCTTGTTCAATGACATTTAAAATTTCACATTCTAAAATAAATTGTAAACGAATGCCATTAACTTTATTTGAATACAATAGATTTTTAACATAGTATTTTTCCAGGTTCATTCAGTTCTTCTATTTAAATATATTGTATGTGTCTATTTTTTCTTTATTGATAATTTAGTATTTCCTGGATTATGTTGTCATTGCTTTTGCTTCCAGTGTTCCATTCAGAAAAAAATTCAGGAACACACAATGATGAATCTTAGGCAAATGTCATTTTCCAAGGTAGTATCCTGATAGAATGTGGAGGTGGTGAATTATCCAACCTAAAATAATTTTGCATTATAAAATATGATCTATTCTCTTCTAAATTCAATATATCTCCTTTCATTGTCTGCTTTCTGGGAGGCCATGTAAGATTGGTGGAGATATTAAATCCCAAAACTAGCAGAGAAAAGCATCTAAATATGAGTTTCCAGCTGAATGTAAATGAGATATATTACTTAATAGAAACATGTAGTATACAATAATCATAGAACAAAAATATCAGATTAATTAAACTTATTCAGTATGCTATGGATCCAATGCATACTGCTGAGCTGTTTTTCTGAAGCACTATGATTTTATGATTTTAAATTCTAGATAATACATTTTTAAACCTTGCATTTGTATTGGAAGACATGATTTTTCCTTTCATTGTGAAAAGAAAAATTACTCTGTGCTAGTACAAACTTATTAGATATCTATCCTCACATTTTTATTTATTGATTTTTCAAAATCTTTTTTATGTTTTGTTTTACAATCACCAGTATACCCCAAATATTGAAAGATTTGAAACTGTTAAGCAACAAATCTGTGAATTTATAATGATATTCTAAGTGATCCAGGAAATGTCATTTTAAGTGGTAAAATCAATATGTATTTTGGTTCATTAGGAAAGTACATAATGGCTATTTCTCAAATCTCTTCAGACTTTCTGTTTAACCAATGTGTATTGTGATGCCTCGCCTGAAGCACTTCTATATTTAGTTCTAATGGAACAGCCTTAAATTGCTTATTTTCTGTTTACTAAATTCAGCCTGTTTGTTACCATGGAAATGATGACAAGTGCTCTTGCTATTTTATTAAATAAATTGAAGATATAGCTACAATTGAAAGTATGGTATGTCATTATTAAAGCACATTTTTCAGTAGCTTCAAAACCAGGGCCACTTTTATATAAAATATGAAAGTAGTTATGAATAATATTTCAAATTTGGTAGGCTATCCATATTTGAAAATCAAAATATAACTAACAGTGTCATCCCTAACAGTCTGTGTTCTAAAAGTGTATTTGTAAATCAGTTCTTTGGCAAATAGAACACATTTGCTCAGTGACATATTTTCACAAGTCATGATTAACTCTCCAAACCAACCTTCAAAAGCTGTTCTTTATGATGTTGTCAGTCTAGAGTAGTGTAGTAGATTCCATAGTAGATTTTGTTATCGACACTGGTAACAGGCTCTGGCAGTAGGAGCCAGAAGAAAGGAATAGCTTATCTCTTCCTTGCTTCCTTCTTAATAGTCAGATGTGAAGGACATTATTTTGAAATAGTAGCATCTGCTGCCTTTTGTGAATGCTGGGGGCTCCAACTGCATTCTTCAGTTATCTGCCAATGTCCCTACACCCAGCTTCTGAAGTTCCTGCCAGATCAGCCTTGCTTTTAACTTAATTCTCCCTCTACATTGAACTATTACTCTCTACCAGATTCAAAATGATTTTAGCTAATTAAAAAATATATTCTCTTTTCTGAGAGATCAAGAACCCTTACAAAAGTTTTTGCATTTAAATAATAGAAGAGGAGGTCAAAAATTATAATGTTTAAAAAATTATTACAATAAAAAACACATTGCCATTGATCCCCCTCAAAAGACAGTTGATTTAAAAGATGTCAAGATCAATGGTGGTAGCTGAAGAGAGTAAAGGATCAAATTAACAGTATAATATAGACAAAAATGTGTTCTTACTTTCTAACAAATTTTAAAAAACAAACAAAACTTTGTAATTTGGGTAATGCCAGTTTTGTGTAATTATTAAAACATATCCAGGGCAGAATGGACAGTTTACTATTCTATGTCCAAGAAATTGAAGGAGGAAAAAGACATAATTAGCTTAATGGTAAAATCAGGTTGATACAAAACGAGTTACCCTCATTGTTTTTATACCTATATCTTATATAGGTTCATATTTCATACAAATATATAATGAAAGGCTGAGAGTTTTTTTCTAAACACAAAGAATATTTCTTTTTTTTCTATAGTAACTGTTACTGGGATCGGTGTGAAATCTAATAGAATTTCATATTCTGTCTTTCCACAATACAATAACTGAATTAGCCTGTAAAATATTTATGTATCTTTCTTCATATGTAAAGAAATATATATATGCAATAAAATATGATGCAAAAAATTAAATTATTTTATTGAATTTCTGCAATTAAGATAGAATATTCTGTAAGAGCATATTTTAAATTTACTATTACTAATAGTTCAAAATGAAGGCACATTTTTTACCTAATGTTCATTTTTCACCTCCTTAGGGTCTACTTTCATTTGTAACACTCACATAATTCCAGTGAAAAATCAAGAGGGTGTGGCTATGATGTTCATCATTAATTTTGAATATGTGACGGATGAGGAAAATGCTGCCTCCCCAGAGAGGGTAAACCCAATATTACCAGTCAAAGCTGTAAACCGTAAGTAAAAGGCAACATTTACTTAAGGCTCTTGAAGCTCTGCTGCTGTAGTAATTTTAACCCATTCTTCATTGTGGTTCAGTTCTCAAAAAATATATTTATATTTGGAGAAATATAGTTTTATACCAGAAAGCTATAGTGCATCTTACGCATTGATGCCTTATGAAATGCATCAATTGTTTTCGAAGTCATTTGACTTGGATATAAAATAATTTATTTCACCAATCCCCAATAGATGGACATTTAATTTGTTCCCAAAATTTAGCAGTTAAAAGTAATATCAGAAAATTATGCCTATATAAATTCATATGAGTATATGTATTTTCTAGACAAAAGTCTTTTCAGGGTCCATGAATGGGATTCCTGGGTCAAAGGGGACATGCATGGCTAGTCTTTTCAGATACTCTCAAATTTCCCTTTATAGAGTTGGGATGATTGTATACTACCACCAGCAATATGTGCTCCTGTTCTTCAAACCTAGGACAACAGAGTGACTCAGTCTTCTATATTTTTGTCATTAAGATACATGAGAAGTAGTTTTAGTTTATATTTGTCTTTTTATTAGTGAGGTTCATATATTTAATCACCATAGACATTTCTTTTTCTGTAAACAATTGTTCATTTTTTTTTCTTTTTTTTTTTTTTTCTTTAGACAGGATCTCCCTACATAGTTCAGGCCAGCCTTGAATGTACTATGCATCCCAGGCTTGAACTCTGGGCAATCCTACTGTCTCCACTTCCTGAGTGTTGGTATTACAGAGGTGTGATACCATGGCCCGCTAAATGTTCATTTCTTTACATATTTTGTTATATATA